AATCATTATTTTTATAAAATTTTAAAAACTTCAATAGAATATTAAAAATTGTTAAAATTGAATTTAATGATTGAAGTTTTATATGTTATAAATAAGGTTTCATACAATACCTTTTTAGTTTACATTTTATAGAATTATATCAAGTGTTATACATGTATTATATTTATTTTGTATTTGCTTTAAACATCTTTATCTTCATGAAATATTTTTCATCATAATAAGTCATGTGTGGAACTAATAACAACAGATCTATGATTAAATATAAAAGCAAGTTTATTATTATGTTATAAAATGAGTAAATTTAACATTATACTTGATAAAATCATTGTTTATTTACCTATGTTCATTCAGTGACATTTTGTGATAAGATTAAACAAGATTGCATGTTTTCAAGTAAAGTATTTACTTACATCATTTTTTCTAATAATGAAAGAAGCGTTTGACACCTTTCTTTAACCTACAGAAAAATAATAAATATATTATACTGAAAGTACATGAAAGATAATATAAGAAAACTTACTTGATCCGTAGTGCGATCACCTAATGTTTTACTGACCATAGCAAGTGTTTTTTTAGAATATTCTTTTTTAATAGCTTGCAATAAAATCATATCTTCTTGTCGTGTCCATGGTTTAGTATTTATATCAATGTCTAAATCAACAGTATTTTTCATTTCATGAGATATGTTAACTTTGTTTGCACAGTCATTTGATATCTCAATTTCCATACTTAATGTATTTTTTTCTATTTCTTTTACAGAATTTTTTGTATCTATGTACAAAGATTCATCTATTTTCATATGATCAGTAATATTTGAATCTGTATATCCTAGTTTCAGTTCTTGTTTATCAATTTTTTTTTCTCTTTTATTTTTACATTGCGTCATACGCATTTTTTTAATATTTACATCTATATGATTTATTTCGCTTCCTGATCTTTTTAAATTTTTTTTTTGATCTGCAGATTTTGATGGGGATTTCATAGTCTTTTTAGGCTTTATAATTATTTTTCCTCCTTCATTTTCTTTAGCTGGTGAACTTTTTGATATGCAAGATTTTTGACATTGTTCTTCAGAATGAAATTCATTCTTTGAAGATTTTCTTCGTTGTCTGGATGAAATGGATGGAACAAATTTATCAGCTGTTTTTAAAGATACACGAGCAATGTTCTCCAATTTTTCTTCATCAGCACCAGGAAAAATAATTTTAGCAGGTCTTAAACCTTCAGATGTTTGGAGATAAATTTTTCCATTCAGGAACTGTGAAATTTATTTTTTAATTTGAATTATTAATTTATATACTATAAATATATGAAGTAGTTTCAAATAATACTTGTGGAAACATTAAGTTTTATTTGAAAAAAGTTATTAATATATTCGTAATTAAAACACCTATTTTATGTAATTATTAGTTATGTTTTGTTTCACTTGTATTATATGTTTGAAACTACTATAAAAGAAATACAAAAACATAAAAAATATAATATACCCTTGTGCCGCAAGATACACAGTGTTCAGAACTATTTTTACAAGTAGAATCATCGCCATTATGACAATTGCATCTGCAATTTTCTCCACCATAAGGATCTTCCTGAGATGCTAGTACAGGCAGTTCTATATTTTCGTATAATTCTGGTGCATCTTCAGTATAAACTTTATTTTTATCGTGCGGTCCCACTGGACACGTCAAGTTTTCAAACATATGAGATGCAAACAAGCTACAAAATAATAAAATAGGCATTCAAATATTCATAAATTTTTTACTATTAATGTAGTTGTTTCCATATTGTAGGATTCATATCTCTCTTTGTTTAAGTTATGATTGTCAGTAACATTATCTGCATTACCTTTCCGGTGGTTTAGCAGTAGGTAATATTTGTAAAAATAAGTCCATGACAAAAGGATGTCCCTTAAGTATAGGACCCATGGTTGTATGAACATGTTCTAATGTTGTTTGTGGATCGGATGAAAGTTGCGTAATAGCTTGCATCATTTTTGCTATACGAGAAGGTTGTTTAGCAAAATATATTTGAGCTACATTAATAAACTCCCTCATTTTTTGAAGCATTATATATTCTATTGATTTATCCATCATTGCAGCTTGATGTGGCTTTAAGAACAATAAAAAGTCTGTACAAAGCTCAGGATATTCATGTAATTTTTCACACATATCACGATACAAATCGATAGTTATTGCATCTTTATCTTTTTCAGATTTTTCCATACTTTTTTCATTTTGCAAGGAAATTGACGTATTAGAAAAGGGTAATTCGTTTTCGATCTGATTAACACTATCCAATTTCTCATGATAATCTAAATATAATTTTATCACAGATCGAAATGTTTCTGGATTATTTGACTCTAATGTTAAATGTAATTTCTGGAGATATGATGCTGCAAATTCTGTATAAAATAATAATTTATTAATGTTGAATGTAAATATACTACAATTATTAAAAGGACACGTACTTGAACTTCTTTCTTCTTCATTTAATGGATTTTCAGATTCTAAAAGTCTTTTAATATTTTCTAATTCTCTGGCTTCTTTAGCTTTCTTTCTGCTGATAGAATCTTTTCTTATAGTAGTACTAGCTAGCATTAACTCGTTGATATTTTCTCTAAATTTTTATCTAAATCATTTTTTTCTCGAGACTTTAAATTGTTGCAATTAGACGATAAACCTTTTGGTCCTAAAACTTGAGCCATTAGCTTCATATTCTGTGCACTTCTTGTTTTTGCTAATCTAGGTGTAGTTTTTCGTAGTTGTGGTAATTCTTGTATCACTTCAGATTTTTTAGAAAATTTAGAATGTTTTGATGTAATTGGATTTGTAAATACATCGTTCTGAATTTCTTTTAAACCATTTCCACCTACTTTTTCCTCCTTTTCATCTTGTGTGGCTATAATTTTTAAAGAGGTATTGCGGTGCAATATACGCTCTTTATTTATTATATTAGAATTACGTAATTCATAATTAGTTTCTTTGTTCGATATATTCTTTAAAATTTCCGAATTTGCATTTTCATTTGTATACGAAGTGTCCTTGGATGTATTTTTATTTGTTGTCTTTTGATTTATATTTGCAGGTAATAGTTTTGGTAAAATATTAACTGGTTTGCACAAGAAATGAGTATTAGAAGCAGTAACATAGTTTTTGTTTCCGTTTATAAAGCAATCTTTTTTCATAAGATCGTTGTATGAATTCAATATATGTTTTCTCTTTAATAAATCAATTTTCTGTTCTGACTGTGTGAACAAATATAATGTAATAAATATATTGACATAAAATAAAGTTATCATACAAAATTTGAAATATTAATACTATTACTATACATATACTATATAATAACACTATTACTAATTGAAAACATTTATTTTTCATAACACAACAATTAGGAAAATAATAAACACTAATATATGAAACAGAAAAAAGTAGTAATAAAATATTAAATATAAAATAAATATTTTGTATTGAACACTTACATTATTAAGATACATCTGCCACTCCAAAGGTAAAAGACTGGTTGGTTGATCTTTAGGTGCTTTGAGATCATATTCCAATGTTATATAATGTATTGTTCTAGGAGCACAACCCTTCTCGAAGTAATGCTGTTATAATATGTACTTATATATTTAATCCAGTTAGAACAATTACATATTTAATATTATATACCTTTATTGGGTTTGCATCTTTTGCACATCGACGCTTTTGAATGTGATATAGTAATCTTTGAGGTTTTCTACATGGTATTAAGTATTGAATAATTAACTGCACTGCATCCATTAGTTGAAGTTTTTTACTCTTAAATTTCTTTGGTTTAGATGTAACAATAGGAATAAATTGTTCTAAACCTAATGCAATTAAACTAAGAAAACAATTTACATAAAATATAGTTTAATCTTTTATAGTACACCATATTTACTTACTTCTCTTCAGACTTTAAGTATGGAGATTGTATAAATTTAATCATTTCACTTCTGAAAGGCATATGAGGCAAAAGTTGAGGATACATTAAAGCTTTGCTTTCCATAAATAGCTTTTTCAATTCTGGATGAAATTTAGGAAGGTATGACCACTTATTTGTGAAATATATTTTTTTTATTGCATCCTCATCTGCAATAGCTTTCTTAAAGTCTTCGCAAAATTTTTCATCCAAAAATTTATTTTCCCAATCAGACACTAATTTTAAAGCATCTAATAAATTTGCTACATTGAATGCAGAACTAGGACCATTACTTAAATACCTGATACAAATGACACAAATTTAATATGTACTTAATAGATTATATATTCATAATGCTTGTATTCATGTATATTGCTTGATTATAAACTTACTTTATACTATTTAAATTTTGTTTGCATATTTTTGATTGAGAATGTAAATCAGGATGCATATATGTGTTAACAAAATGTTGTACCATTAATTGAACATGTTGACGAAATTGAACTGCTAATAACTCCCGTTGTTTCGTATTTATTAGATTGGGAAGTTCAGGTTCTTTGTAAGTAGGTAATAAATTTGCTACAGAACAATTCTAAATTCCACAATTAAAACTGTAGTAAAATTGTACTTCTAATTAAAGTATAGAAATTACATTTTTATCTTACCATAATGTTATTTTCAATTGAAGAATTTGTATTTTCTAGAGACTTCCGCTTTTTTGAAATATCCTGTTCTTGTTTTGAAAATGTATCAGTAAACTCAAATAATTCTGCAATCAAATTATTTAATTCCTTACGAGTAACTTTTACAGCTTTATCTGCTCGTAACTCTTCCTTATCCACTGTAAACGTATTATTTATATAATTTACATTATTCTAATAATCTGCATAGTCTAAAAAATGTACAATGCATATTACACATACAAAATTCTATTTCTTCATCCTCTAAAATATTATATTCTGGATCTGCTTCTGGGTCATCTTCTACTATGGGTTCTTGAGTTAATGGTTGTGTAAACTCTTTTAAAAAATTATCCCAATCTTCATCTACTTCACAATCCCAATCATACATATCAGTTGTTATATCTGGTGGTATAAATGCTTGTTCAATTTGTTCTAAAGGTGTCTCACTTAAACAAAGCTTTGAACGTGTTCTTTGACCAATACTTTCCTCTTCTGTTAGAACATGAGGAATACTAAAAAAAATATTAATTGAAATTAAAATTTTGTCAATATAATTTGTACAATTATTATATAAATGAACATTAATTTACTCGGGAATTTTAAATATTCCTTCTGGGTCATATTGAACATATAGTGACTTAGATTGTTCAACTGAAGATGAATCACAATGATTTACAGGTGTTAAAGGTTGAGAATCCACATCACTATTTGTTGCATTTTCTACTTCTCTTTCATCATCACTTTGTTTATCTTGCTCTGGATTATATTCTTCATCAGAAGAATCTTCTGGTAATTCTTCTGTGATTAGTGCTTGAACTTCAGTGTAGCACATATAAAATATATTCAACCATACTTGGCTTTTGCTCGTGTTAATTTTGGTTCAAAAGGTACATCATCTTCTGCATCATGAAGACGATTTTTAACCATTGCCATTACATGTTCATTAGTAATAACATGTTTCAAAATATTTTTGACATTTGTGGCAGTTAAATTTGTTTTAGCTGCCTTAGCATCAAGCTGCCTTTCAATTTCTTCTTCCATTTCATTAATGACTGAAGAAGTTTCTTCGACAGCATCCCTTTTATGTTTACTAGGGAGTACATAATTGTCAACTTCAGAGACATCGATTTGCAAATCAGCAGTTTCTGAATCTGAAGATTCATCACTATTAACATCATCAAAATCAAAGTTAAATGAAAATGATAGATTACACTGTTTTGTTGATTCATTCAAAGAAACACAAGAAGGTGAAGGATTTTCTTCTTCAATAGTATTTTGTTTGAAAGATTCGTTCTCCCTAAAATATTGAAATACAAATAATACTATATTAATTAAAATATGAATCTTTTGCAAAAAAAATATTAAAATAATTATTAAAAAATACACTAACATTATCTTTTTACCATCAACGTTCGTTACATGATTTATCAATGACTATTAATAAATTTACCACTTTCTTATAATTCATAGCATATTTGATTAAAAAGTTTTATATATGAAACCTACTGTAGAAATAGAAACACTCAAATATACTTGTAAATCTTACAGAAACACATTTAATACTGTACATAAAGTGGAAAATTATGGCTAATTCAACAATTGACAGGTTATACGGAGTGCTTAATCTTTACTGTACAACCACTTACAATTGTTAAAAATATTTTAGTTATTTAAATTTATCACGTATTTGCTAATTTACCAGATTTCCTGTAGAGGTACAATGTTTGATGTTTAACATTTTTCTCTTATTCATCATTACAATCTTTTATTACAGTACGCGATTTCATTTTTAATAAAATACAAAAGTTAAATTTAGAAAATAAACATTTTTCACTTAAGTAACAAATTATAGCTATGAATTTTCTAGATTATGTTACAAACATTTAAATGATTACTAAATTATAGTATTTTAATTTAAGTATTGAATTTCACAACCTGTGGTATCTTAGGCTAGATCAATAACTACTAACTCTCGTTAATTCGACAATAATTTTTATAATTTTCAAAGTAGTTAAAACTAACTATTGTAATTTTTAGTATATGTGAAATTCATAAGTATTCAAACAAAGAATTTTGTTTAAATCTGCGTATCAATAATTTAAAAAATTTTTGTTAAAATTAATTCAACAAACATTCATGAATATAATGTTAAAGTTCGATTAATTTATACGCATTTACAATTTACACATATTTATAATGTTACAATATATTTGTTAAATGTTTGATTATTAAAGCACTTTATTTAATCCTAATATTTTCGCATAAAGTGCTTCATATTTATACGAAAATGTACAAGCTGTAATAATGAAATATTATACGTAATAACATAATCACTTTTATATAAGTCAAATTTACGTATTAATATTTTTTTCCGTTATACATGAATTATATAAAAGTTTAAAAATTTGCATTTCTTTTTAACTATAACTTTTTTTAATAAATTTAGGATTCTCCTAATTTTAAAATAATATTCTATCTGATTATTTATTCCTTATATATAATAAAGAGTCATCCATATTTTCTACAAAGAATATTTACGTGGATAAAATTAAAAATTACATTCTAACACTATGCTTTATCATTTCAACACAAAATTAAAACATCAAAAAGTGAATTGTTTGTCAGAGAAATTCAATATTACATATCTGCAATGCCATTTGTGACAAAGAGAAAATTGATGTTATCACGATCTTTCGAAAATTGCTTTCCATAATCGATTTAGAAAGTGGAATCCACAATAACAAATTGTTCTGCCTATTTATATGCAATTATCACCCCCAAACAGGGAACGAAATATAAGGACGAATTTCAGTGCTTGGAATAGCCAGTTTTATTCCAGTCGTAGATTTGTATATGTATAAGACAGGACTAAAATTTCTAAGTTTCATTTTTTCTTGATTTTTCCATATTGGAATTAAAAATGAAAGGACATATTTTTCTTCTTTTTACCGTTTTCGTGTTGACAACTTTTGCAGAAACGCAAGATCGTATTCCAAACCTCCTGATGAATAAACAATATGTTGAAAAACAGATCGATTGTATTTTGGATCGAGGTCATTGTGATGCTATAGGAAGAAAAATCAAAGGTGAGATTTAAAATGCGAGATATTTATTAAAGTTTACTTATTTAGTTTGCCTTTCTTCGTAGTTTGCATATGATGATAAACAGTGAAACATATTTAATTTATGTCATAAAAATCGAATGAAGAATAATCGAAAATTTTATTTTCTCTACCAAAAATTCTACTTATATCGTGGTAAATTTTAGTCAACTAAAATTTTAGAATTATGGTTGGGTGCAACTGTTTTTTGTAAGTTCAAAAAAGATTCACTAAAAAGCAGATATTTCTTTCTGTGTAACAATTTACCACAAGGAGTGGATTTCTTGATAATTTTATGTGAAACAAAGAGAATGATAAGAAATGCAATAATAAAAAAAAAGACATTGTGAAAATACCCTCATAATAATGTTTTGCTCTTTCGTTTTACCAAAAACAGTTGCATATTATTAATAAATACATGCCGTTATGATTTATCGACGATATTTATCTTAGCAAGAAGTATTTCACACAGTCAAGTACGGATTTAACAATTGAATTGTATTATTTATAAATTTTGTAATGATTGTTGCAGAATTGTTACCAGAAGCGATAAACAATTATTGCCGACGTTGCACATCTCGAGAAGTAGCACAGGCACGCACATTGATCACATTTATGCAACAAAATTATCCCCAAGCGTGGAATCTGATTCTACGACGTTACGCGGCAATGCAACGTTATTTCAATTAGGATGGAAGAATTCCGTAAAGCAACAATAATTGATGAAATAACAACTCGCTGAAAGGATGTATTTGAAGAAATTTTGAAACAACTAATAAAACTACCTTTTACAATAATATTCATGATTTTCTCCTTTGTGAAAGCCTTCTAACATTTAAATAAAATATGATATAAAGTATTTTTTCTATAATTATACGTACTATATGTATATGCAAGTTTCTGTATTATTCGAATATTTAGCATTATACAGAGTGCGGCCAAAATAGTAATAAAGAAATGATTCCTTATGTAAAAATGAATGAAAGGTGTAGAATGAAATTGTTTCATTTGAGATTCAGTTATCGAGATAGTCAATATTGAAAATTA